GCAGCTCACAGCGTGCCTCTCTCCACCCGGCCGAGCCGTCGGTCCTGTGGGCGCCAAGCGGGCCAAGGCCGCGGCGAGCGCGCGCGCCTGCACGGCACCAGCACCCGCTGCGGAGGCGTGGAGGCGCCGCCTGGTGCTGGCGGCCGTTATAGTCGGCATCCTGCCAGTCTTCGTGGTGCACTTACAGGCCGTGCGCGCGCGTCGCGCGGGGGCCCCGCCGCACTGCGCCCGCGCGGCCGTGCCGCGCCCCGCTGCAGCGGGCCAACGCCTGCCGCCTGCCGGAGGACTTCGCCGTGGAGTTGCAGCTGCTCGTCGGCTCGGTGCTCGGCATGCTCCTCGGCTGGTCGCCCGTGGTCGGGCTGCCCGAGGCAACCTCGTGCTGCACGCCATTGGGGGCACAGGGCGCGGTGGGGCGTGCCGCCGGCCGCTTCCTGCCTCCTCGCCACCACCTTCCTGCGGGCCTGCGGCGTGCTCACCGTTCTGGCCGGCGGCGTTGCGGTCTCGTGCGTCGAGGCCGTGAGGCTCGTGACGGCTGGCGGCTCGTCGCCTGGGGCCCTGGCGCGCGGTGCAGGCCGCCTGCCGTTTCCTGGGTTACGTTGCCGTCGCCGGCGCGGAGGCCAGCCGCTGCATCGCCATGCTGTTCTACACCGTCGTCCTGACCTCGTGGGAAGCTGCCTTGGACAGCGGGTAGGCACTCCGAGGCACATCGCCACGCATGCCGTGCAGAGTGGGTGCCCTCGCCGTGGTGTGCAGCGCATCGGGGCGGAGTGCCACACTGGCGGCCGCAGATGGAGGAGAAGGCCCGCGCCTGCCCCTGAGGGAACTGAAAAGGAATAAAAGAACGACCCTGCATCGGGCACACGCTGGCACGGATTGTGGATCCGTGGATCTGGCGCGTGAACGCCATGCATATAGATCGCGAAACAAATCATTCGAAACCAGTGCCGCTGGATTTGGCGACGGAGCGCGCCGAAGTGTTATGGAAACGGGACCCGTCGCTAATTCATCAAATGCGACCCAATGTGCCCCTCGCGCGCGCATGTTGAAATCATTCGAAAGCCAAAGCCCGAACGCCCTTTCGCGCGTGCTGGGGCGGGGGCACGATCCCTGTCAAAAACAACATGCGGGCCACTCACTCGCGTCGGCCGCGCGCGCATGTCGAAATCCCTCCAAAACCTGCATCACCGACACGTGGACACCAGCATCGTCATCGGCGCGATCAGCAGCGGTACCGTGCTTGGCCTTGCCGTCGTCATCGTCATTGTCGTCACCAGCATCGTTACAAACATCATCGTGTCTGAAATTGTCGACGTCATCATGGTACCGCGCTCGAGGCACCGACTCGCACTGACGTGCCCGAGCGTCAGCGAGGCGTGCAAGACGCGCTGGGAAGCGCCCAGCGGTCAGCGCCACCGCGGTCGCGTCGGTCGCGCCAGAATAGCTTGTCGCTCTCCTCCTCCTCCTCCTCCTCCTCCTCCTCCTCCCTCCCTCCCTCCCTCCCTCCCTCCCTCCCTCCCTCCCTCCCTCCCTCCCTCCCTCCCCTCCCTCCCTCCCTCCCTCCCTCCCTCCCTCCCTCCCTCCCTCCTCCCTCCCCCCTCCCTCCCTCCCTCCCTCCCTCCCTCCCTCCCTCCCTCCTCCCTCCCTCCTCCCTCCCTCCCTCCCTCCCTCCCTCCTCCCCTCCCCTCCTCCTCCCTCCTCCTCCTCATCCTCCTCCTCCTCCTCCTCCTCCTCCTCCTCCTCCTCCTCCTCCTCCTCCTCCTCCTCCTCCTCCTCCTCCTCCTCCTCCTCCTCCTCCTCCTCCTCCTCCTCCTCCTCCTTCTCCCTCCAACTTCACTCGTCCTCCGATCCTCGTCCCCTTACTCCGAGTCCCAATTTCCCTCACACTGCCCCACCGCCCTGGTTCCCATCCCATCTCCCAGCTCCCTCCTGTTTTTTCTTGGCGCGAGCAAGCCGCAGACACGAGCAGCAGCTGCACCACAGCTGGTCCCCAGCGCACTCAGCCCGGCGAGTGCGGAGCTCTGGCCAACCAACTCTGCCCGTGACCCGCCGTGCACCGCACAGCACATCGCCAGGTGCAAACCGTCCAGCCGGCTCTCGATGCCGTCCAAAAGAACTGATCGAATCGGTGCCCCAGGCGCCACCCCCACGCCCTTCGCAGCCAGCTGGCAAAAACGGGCCCGACCCCAATGCCACCGGTCACCACCGGTCAGATCGTGGGACGCCAGTCTTCCAAAGTGGGATGAGGAGGGTGAGCGGCCGGGGTGAGGATCAGGGCGCTCGTTCGATCGGTGGCAAACAGAAGGCGTGGCCACGTCGCGCCAGACCTCTGTGACCATGAAGGCGAACTCGGTGTTCCGCGATGGTCGCCCGCAAGGGAATGCGCGCCCGCCTTTCTGAACGTCCTTTCTCCTCCGCCTTACCCTTCTGCTCATCCTCCTCTAACCCTCATCCTCACCATCACCCTCTGCTTCACACCCTCATCCTTTCCCTCCTCCTCCTCCTCCTCCTCCTCCTCCTCCTCCTCCTCCTCCTCCTCCTCCTCCTCCTCCTCCTGCTCGTCCTCCGCCTCCTCCTCATTCTCCGCTCCTCCGCCTCCTCCTCCTCCTCCTCCTCTTCCTCCTCCCTCCGTTCTTCCCTCTCTCCCGCCCACCCACCCTGTTACTCCCTACCACCCTCTCCTCCCACTCCCTCCTCCTTCTTATTCTTCTCCGTCTTCTCCTCCTCCTCCTCCTCCTCCATCATCATCATCATCATCATCAGCCGCAGCAGCAGCAGCAGAAGCATAATCCTTCTCCTCCCCCTCCTGCTCCTCCTCCTCCTCGAACTGCATGGATACCATGCACGTTGGCCCCTCTGGCTTCGCAGAGAAATACACGGCGCGCCCCCAGGCCCGCCGGAGTAAAAAACATATCCCAAACTGCAGTCGAGCGCAGAAGCAAGTGCTGACTCGCAGATCCCGGCGAAAGGGGCGGACACGAGGGGGGGAGGGACGGCCAGAGGGGAGCCGCCGCAACAAGGAGGGAGGGGAGGGAGGAGCAAAGGGGAGGGAAGGGCCAAGCTAGGTGCGCTAGCGTCACATCTGACGTCCTACCCCTCCCTCCCATCCCTTACCATGGCGTAGATCTCCTATCTATTCGCACAGTCGGATGTCGAGTAGGGCAATGATCCCAAGAGGGTCCGCAATGGATGCAAAAACAGGAAGTAGAGCACGGCAGAGCATAGCATGTCATAGCATGGAGTGGCATTGCGCAGCATGGCATAGCATCACAAAACAAGCAACGCAACGCATGGCATCGCACTGCAGTGCACAACACAGCATCGCATTGCATGCCGTGGCATGGCACCAGGTGACTTGGAGAGTAAATGGCCCGTCTACGAGAGGACAGGGCCTGTCCGGAATGCCGGCTCCATGTCCTCCGCAACCGTACCTGCCCGATGTGGGCGGTTTCGAATGCCAAGTGCTGTTTGGAGGCGCGGGGACGAGGCCAGCGCTGCAGCGGGAGCACGATTTTGAATGACCGAAGCGCGGAAATGGGGGCGGCGCTGCAGCGGAAGCACCACTTTGGAAGAACCAGAAACGACCGGATTGAAAAAATGCATAGGAAAAAAACACTAATGATGAAACCCTGTGTGAAAAACATTACGCGGAGAGGACGGGAGACTCTCTGGACAGAGTCAGGGGGGAGAGGAGAGTAGTATTCATGCTGTGTAATTGTAGAGCGGAGGGAGGGGCAGAGGGGGGAGGAGGGGCAGAGGGGAGCGGGAGGAGCTGGTGAAGGCTGCCTCCCCCTCCCGCAGCGCGAGCCCTTCGCGGCGGGGGGGGCCGCCAGAGGGAGGGCTCAGACGCGGAAGATGCTCTCCCCCTGCACGCGGAAGTTCTGGCGGAAGCGGCGAGAGGCCATGAACTCGTGAACCTGATCGATGTCGAGGTCATCATTCTCGATCTGCCGCACCACGTCCGCCATCTCCACCGCGACGTCCGTCAGCTCGATCTCCGGCTCCCCCTGCGCCCGGGTGAGGTTGGCCTGGGCGTGGCGGTCCTTGACCAGGCCGTCGAGGAGGGTCATGATCTGGTCGGAGATGGGCGTGGCGTGGGCGATGTAGTGGCGGAATCTCTTGCGCAGCTCTTCAGCCACCTGGTGCTTCTGGCTCTGGATGAAGGACTCAAGGGTCACGCTCAAGGCCCAGTCGAGATCAGCACTCGTGCAGTGCTGCCGGAGCTCCATCTTCGCGCTTGCCTGCGTGAGTCGCATGATACTGTCGATATGCCTAGCTGTCATCGGAGCACCCCCGCTGCGGAAGGCCTCCTGCCGAATTTCCTGGTAGAACTTGGCCAGCTTGTCCTTGTCGATGTCAGTCACCTCTGGCTTAACGTGCTTCCGAGCGTAGACGATGTACTTCTGAAGCAGGTCCTGGTCGATAGGGTCGACGCTGGCCAGATCCCGCTGCTGCTTCCTCGGCTGCGTCCTCTTGTCGGTCGCGTCGGCCTCTGGGTGCGATCGCATGTGGCTGCACACGACGTGATCCGCCAGCATCTCGTCTTTCGTTGGGTCCGACTCGTCGCGCAGCACGCACAGAACGTCAAAGCGGCTGAGAATGGGGTCCGACAGGTTCACGTTCTGCCCGAAGCTGCGGGTGGGGTCGTAGCGGCCCTCGGTCGGGTTCGCCACGGCCAGCACCGAGCAGCACGCCTGCAGAGTGGTCACGATGCCCGCCTTGGAGATAGAGATGGTCTGCTGCTCCATGGCCTCGTGGATCGAGGTGCGGTCCTGGTCGTTCATCTTGTCAAACTCGTCGATGCCAGAAGAAGAGAAAGCTGCACACACACACACACACATAAACTTTCGAAGGCCCGCCCAAATTTCTGGATCGGCGCTGGGCCCCCCTCCCCAGGCGCGCGGAGCGCGCCGCCAGGGAAGGGAGTCCAGCGCGGACCTCCGGGAAAGCCGCGTGGACCTCCGATAGGTGGCGACATCCGCGCCCTACCCCCACCCATCATCGATTCTCCTGTATCGATGGGAGGCAGGGGTAGGGGTTCGGATTTCGCCGCGTGCTCGACGAGTTCAGAACCCCACGCCCGCCGCCCATCGAGCTGCCTGATTCGTTAATCGGCGAGGGCAGCGTTCGGATTTCGCCGCCGATCCGGAAGCTTATGCTTATGCCGCTGTTTTTCTTCTTCGAGATGAGGCAGATGCCGTCGTCGGCGAGCACCATCGCGCCGCCCTCCAGGCACCACTCGCCGCGCTCGTCCTTCGTCACCGCAGCCGTGAGACCCACGGCACTCGCGCCCTTCCCGGTGGTGTAGACGGCCCGGGGGAAGGTTTGCTCCACGTACTTGGAGGATGGAGGATGGAGGAGGATGGAGGACGGAGGAGACTGGTGGATGGAGGATGAAGGAGAGACTGGTGGATGGATGATCGTGGATGGAGGAAGAAAAGGAGGAGGTGGTAAATAGAGGATCGCGGAGGAGGAGGTGGATGGAGAATGGAGGATGGTGGATGGAGGACGGACGGAGAATGGAGGAGGATGAGGAGGAGGAGGAGGAGGAGGAGGAGGAGGAGGAGGGGGATGGGGATGATGAGGAGGAGGACGGCCTTGAGGAACTGCGACTTGGCCAGGCCCGGGTCGCCCACGATCAGGACGTTGATGTCGCCGCGGATGCGGTGCTTCCCGGCGCACTCCTTCCGGCAGCCGCCCATCATCGCCATGGCGATGGCCGTCTTAACGTGACGCATCCCGAAGATGGACGGCGCGATGGAGGCGATGATGCGCTCGCGGACGTTCGGGCTCTTGGCCAGCTCGAGGATCTGCTGTGTCTGCTCGTCAGTGATCTGGAATATCTTGGTGTCTCCCTTGCGGTGCACGTTCACGGACTGGATCTCCGTGCGGAACACGGGGAAGCAGGTGCGAGCGTTCGTAGCCGCATCGTGCAGGCAGCGATAGATGCCCGTCACCTGGAGGTCGTCGCCGGGTCGGACGGTGTCCACTTGGTCGCCAGTCAGGATCACGTCCTTCGAGCGGGGCATCTTCCCTGGCTCGACGCTGCTGGGGCTCTCCTGCAGCGTGATCTTCTGGAAGTTGCGGTACAGCGTCTTCGAACGGTCGACGATCCAGGGCCCTCTCGACTGACACTCGAGGCAAGCCCCTGGCTTCAGGTCCTTCTCCTCGGCGACGTCGAACGGACCGCAGGCGAAGCTGCACTTGGCGCAGCGCAGGTACAGGCGCTTGATCTGGTTGAATACGCCGCTTCGCTTGGTTGCGACGCCGTGGACGAGCACCAGCTTGTTCAAGTGCCTCGAGGGCAACAAAAAACTGCACAAACATAAGCTGTTGGAGGTCCTTGCGGAATTCGTGGATCTGCGCTGGACACCCCTCCCTGGCGCGCGGAGCGCGGCAGGGGCGCCGCCAGGGGGGTCCAAGAAATCCGCGCAGACTTCCGGCAGTTTATTTTCATGCCGTCTCTCTCTCTCTCTCTTCAATGCCTCGAGTTCAGCTCCCGGATCGGCTCGCGGACGGGGAAGGAGTGGATCGCCACCCGGAGCTCGTTCTCGTCGGTGTCGCGCAGCAGCTTGTACGTCTGGAACTTCCGCTCCGCCTCGCCCATAAGAGTCTCGTTCAGGATCGGCAGGATGCGCACCGGGCTGTCCGAGATCCACAGCGCGAGCGAGGGGCTCCACTTCTGCAGGTGCTGGAAGTTGACATCCAGGTGCCGCTGGTGCTCCTCCGCCATCTGCTGCAGCATGTCCGGGTACTTGGGCTCCGACTGGCCCTCGGGCACAAACCTCAGCAGGAACTGCCGGAAGTTCCGGCGGATCTTCTCCTCCAGCCGTCTGTCGACGGGGTCGGCGCCCTCGGAGAGGCGCTCGTGCGTCAGGTCGTAATACGACTCGGGCATGTCCTCGTCCTCGTCCGAGGCGGAGGGGCTCGGCTCCGGGGGGCCCTCGTCCCCTGGCAGGCCTCCCGGATGTGGGCGGAGCAGGCGAGGCCCGAAGATCCCACCGCGTCGCCGCTGCACCGGCGCTGCGGGGCTAATCGACGCTAAATCGAGGCTAGTCGACGCTAATCGACGCTACAGACCGAATCAAGAGGGTATGCCAGGCTCCAATGACTTGCTACCGAATCAGAATGAACTTTCCGACACCCCAGTCGGCCAATCGGGGAGTCGGCCAGTCCGGGAGTCGGCCAGTCGGGGAGTGAACCAGTCGGCCAGTCGGCCAGCCGGGGAGTCAGCCAATTGGGGAGTCGGCCAGTCGGCCAGTCGGCAAGTCGGCCAGTCGGCAAGTCGGCCAGTCGGGAAGCCAAAAAATACCACGGGGGGCCACGAAAGACGCACGCGCTGGGCCATGTGCACGAGCACGGCCCCCCAATCCGCGAGGCCAGCCTCGTGTTACGAGCGCTCGCGCAACGCATGCCTCGATAGGGGGCCACATGCGAACCCTACCCCACCCTACCGCTCAGAAACCGTGGGGGGTAGGCGTAGGGGTAGGGTTCGCATGTGGCCCCCTACTCGAACCGCACGAACACTCAGGCACTGAAGATACCGATGCCGCTGCTCCCCGCACCTCTCCCGGGGCACGCTCTGACCAGGACCTCGAGGCGAACCCAGCCGTGGCGACGAGAGCCTCCCAGAGGGTCCAGGAGGGCGACAGCGAGGGAAGGCATCTCGGCCCCTCAGATCCGGGGACCCCTGCTGTGCCCCGCCCCCAGCCCAGACCCCCGACGTAATGATCTGTTCACAACACCCCTAGAGGTCTGGACCCCTTCCCAGGGACCGGTTTCGCGTCCTGAGCCGTTCTTTGACGGTCCTGGGGCCTGGCGCGGGCCCCCCGAGGCCGAAGCTATCGAAAACCCTGCCGTCGTGACTTTTGCCAGCGCTCGGTGGGGGTCTGCAAGGCCCGGGAGGCCTGGATCCCCGGCGTCGCCCGGGGCGAGGCGGCGGCGGACGCGCCGGGCCCCCTCCGCGGCGTCGGCCTCGTCGTCGCTCCCCGCCGCGGCGGTCGCCGCCGGGCTGCCCTCCAGCGGGTCGGGGCGGCCGCGCCGGCCAGGGCCCCGCGCGTCGCGCAGGTCGAGGGCCATCTCGGCCGCGAGGCGCTGCTCGACGGTGAGGGGCGGCTGCGCGGAGTCGTCGATGAGCTCTGGGTCGTAGCGGTCGAGCTCGGGGTCCTCCCGGTAGTCCTGCAGCAGTCCCAGACATCCAACGCACTGAGAGAATCAAGACGGGTTTTTGTTCGCAGCCTTCAGCCGCCAGGGGCCCTCGCCGGGCCTCGGGACCGACAAAAAAGGACTCAGGATGAAAGACCGGTCCTGGGGAATGGGTCGAGACTTCCAGGGACCTCGCATTTGAAAAATCACGACATCGGATCTCTAGGTTGTTTTCTACCGCGCAAAACCCGCGGGTGCCACAACAGCATCGCGAGTCAAGAGGTCGCCAGGCAAACTGGAAGCACCGCAGAAGCCTACCTGGAACAGGCAGTCTCATGCTACGAATCGTGGCCTGAACAACTAACTATTCGACAATCCCGGTAGTCCTGCATCATGTTCTCCCCCAGGAGGTCCTCGCCCTCCTCCTCGTGGCAGCGCGTCCAGAGGGGGGGGGGGGGGGGGCGAGGGGGCAGGCCTTCTCAGAGGGCGGCGGGGCGTCTCAGAAGCCCCGTCCGCGCCTTCGGAGAAGGCCTGGGAAGCTTCTCAGAAGGCCGGAGGCCTTCTGAGCCTCCCGAGCAGGCCCGCCCTCCGCCGGCTTCCCCCCGGGGCTCGCCGCCGATCCTCGTCCTCGTCAACCACCTCGCCACGCAGGAGGCGCTCCTCCTCCTCCTGCTCTTCCACCTCATCCTCGATCTGCTGCTCGTCGCGGTTGAACGCCATCCCCTGCGCTCAGACCTCGCGTGTGCTCACGCGAGTCACACCAGCTGCAAGATCGCTCCAGTGACCCCAAATGGCTGCATCCAGAGAAGGGGGAAGACGATGAGAGATACGTGGTGGCTTTGCAACCCCATCAATAGAGGACGACGACGATGACGAGCATCAGGAGGTAAGGAGAAGGAGGTGCGCGAAGGGAAAGGAGGAGTGCAGAGATCTTCTACTGGGCCTGGAGTGTAAACAGCGTCGTGCGGTGCCACAGAACTGTTTAATGAACGCCGCATCTGGGGTGCAACTTGGTGCCCGCAAAGTGTGCCGACTGCCGCTTGTTACGGCGCTTGCCCCCCACCCCCATCTGCTTCGTCCGTGTCCTCTGCCTCCTCCTCATCCTCCACATCCTCCACCCTTCCGACGCCTACGCGAAACAAGTCATCGTCTGTGATCGATTTGGAAATGATGCGATGGCGCCTTTATGATTGATCAGCGTGTTGGTGCGATGATTGGATAATCAATGTGTTTGCAGGGCGCCCCGGCCAGGTAGAGGCTTCACGTGCGTGTAAGGCACCGTAGCGCTTGTCGATGCGGAACGGAAAAGAAATAGGAGGTAGGAGGGAGGGGGAAGAGAGAGGATAATGTTGGAGGACTGAGGAGAGAAGGGGGATAGAAAAGCTAGGTGTACTCGCGCAGTCTGACATCCCATCCCTCCCTCCCGTCCCTTTCCAGTGTACTCAACATTTTCTTATTCGCCAACCCAGGTGTCAAATCAGACATTGCCCCTTGAAAAGTATTAGCAGCGCGATGAGGCCATGGGCCAGCGAAGGATGGAGAAGGGGGACGAGGAGGACCAGGGAGGGAAGACAAGAAGGAGGAGGAAGCCAAGGAGGACGACTAGGAGGAGGAGGTATAACACTAGGGCCTGGAGAGAAAGAGAGAGAGAGAGAGGAGGAGGAGAGGAGGAGGAGGAGGAGGAGGAGGAGGAGGAGGAGGAGGAGGAGGAGGAGGGGGAGGGGGAGGTGGAGTTTCTGGCAGACTCCCCTCCTTCCCCGATCCTACTAGAACTCCTAGTCAACATACCACCTCCCACCAACTTGGCCTGCCGCTCCTCAACCGTCGCCCCGCCACCGCCGCAACTCTCAGCCGCCTC